ATCGTTTAATGAGATTATGACTGCAATCGATTTAGATTTCAATGTTTTTCAGTACTTCTATTCTTATTTTACGTCTAATGGACGATAAAAACAAAATGATGATTAGAAGCGCTTAAAGTGCGTAAGCGTCCAAATCGTCCGCAGCCTATATATTACTAAAAACATGAAAAGATTAATGTGTATATTAATTTTTATTATTTTCATCTTAAGTATAATAATTTGTAATATTCTCTCTTTTAATTAATAAAATTAGAAAAATTAAAATCTTTGTTCTTTGCAATAATAATTAAACATAAAAATATATATTTAATCGTTAACATAGAATAAAAAGCATAAAGATAGGTTTCATTTAAGCAGCTGAGTTTATAAGGTTAGTTATGAGATATTGGCCCATATCGGTGTTGATTGAAATATTTTTTATAACTGAAAAACCATAAATAAAATAACAACTTGAATTAAAGTTACAATAAAAAATACGATAATTTATTCAAAAAATACATTGATTTATTAATTGCTTTTTATTACATGTAGACTAAAAAGAATACTCATCTAATAATTTTACTTTTAATATACAAAAAAGTGCACGTATTTAGCTGTTGATAACTGGATATAGATTATTGTATTAAAATACGAGTAATTTCTATCTTTGTGCTACATTATGCAAGCATGCATATTATATATTTTGGTTATGTATAGATATATGTATTTGCATTTGACCAACTTGCCTCTATACTCAAATAGCGCCGATCTATCCTAACATAAATCTAATAACCCTTAAAAATTCTTAATACCTGATTCATGAGACGATTATATCGATGAGATTATAATTTGTTACTCCGGATTTCTTTGGTTATGAAAACATTTGTCATTAAAATTAAATTTCTAGAATAACTTACATGTACTCGTTTAAGGGAAATTCAAATATAATAATACTGACTGGCTGATATCGGATAAGAATTATTTAAAATTTTAGATACATGTGGCAGCATTTGCCAAGCAACTGTTCTTGCTCCATATTGAGAATAGAGGCTGGCATTTCTGAGTTTTTGTATCTACGCCGGTAGAGTTAACTTCACCAATCAGTCATATTTATTAAATATAAATAGAATTTTATTTTAAATTCATCAATTTGGTTAATATAAACATAATATAAACAGCATTTATTAAGAGAGAATGGGGCAACGCGACGCAGGGGATATAATATGGCACTGTTATTGTAACAATTTTGCATTAGCCGATAATTTGAAAATTAATGTTATTTGATATGTACAATCATGTTCAACTAAGACATATACAAAATTTCAGAACATATACATAAATAAAAAGGAGCATACAATCATATACGCAAGATGTTTGTCACACAAGTCATATATTTAATTTTTGTTAAAATTTAATTTCAAAACAATTCATTTTTTTTTCTTTTTATAAAAGTTAGTTTGATACACTTTTCTCGTAACATTTACACCTCAAATACATATGTACATTTCGTTTCTTCAAAATCAATTTACAACATTAAAATATTATTTAGAAAGTTTAAATTGAATTTTTAATCTTTTAAGTCCTATACTTTTTTATATTTGTAATACTTTTCTTATTCAATTATAATGATTAATAATTAAAAAAAAGTGCGTGCAGGCAACGCGGCGCAGACGTTCAATTCAAGATTGTTCAAAATGAATAGATAGGCCCATGGTGGATAGGCTAGCGCATTGAGATGATGATGAAACATGGAGGTATTATATGTATTGAATTGTATTTTCTTGAATGTATTAATATGAAAAGATTGCACTTTTGTTAGAAAAATATTGTTAACTCTTACGCATTCGTCATATTTCATCGTCAGATGTTCACGTTCGGAAAATAATAACATGAAAATTCATTATTTTGAGAGATTACACTTTGAAGTTATAGGTTAAACTTTTTGCTTTACATAACAAGTCTCGCAATTAATTTTATTTTAAAATGAGTTTTTTTAATAACATTCTTTATGAATGAACAATTATTTAATTATTTAATTATTTATTTGTTCGTTGAAAAAAATTATTTGCAATATTCTTAACATTTTATGAAGAAATTTAATTAAATACCACTTTCAAAATTGTAAAAAGTTTGATCTACACATTAAATTTCTGTGATTATAAATTGATTTTCCTGTGATTTTATTTTTATTTTGTGATATTTAAGAATGTATAAAGTATCTAAGGTTATCTGTCTAAAGTTATATCTGAAATGTTTATTTTGAAAAATTAAAAATTATCTAATGTGTTCATAATAAGTTTATTTAAAAAATAAAAATTATTATAACCTTACTCATTTCTGATTTAGCTCTGTATTAATAGCTGTGTATTAATAATCTTTTTAACATTAGCTATTTCCTTAAGCTTTATGCGCATTAATAATTAATTGAATATACAAAATACACAATAAAAATTCCATTTGAATTTTTTTTTAAATTCGATATAAAATCAGAAAATGGTATCTAATGATCTTTTAATATAAAAATCGTAGTGTGCCGCATTACACCGGGTATATACGACGCAAATAAACTTTTATTATAATGCAATATTTCATCATTTATTACACGGTAAAAATGTTATATGAAGAATTTGTTATATGATAGATAAGATGCTCAACTTTAATTTTACCCTTCTTTTTATTGATTAAGACGTTTTTCATAATAAAATAAATGTCCCAATTAGTGATAAAGTAACTTGTGGCGAAAAAGAATTAATAAATTCGATATATGTATATCACAATAAGTACAAAATGAAATTAATTTTTTTTAGAAAGTTTAGACATTTAATATTTAGATTATAACATTAAATTTTTTATTTACTTACAAATTCTTAATTTATTTATTACATTTTTATAAACATGTTTTTGTATCATTTAATGACATATGTATTCGAAATTTAATAAAGTTAACAATTTAACTCATGAAAATATACTGCCGTCTTAGGTTAAAAATTCATAAATTGATAAAATCATGAGTGTTTCTATTAACTTAAGCAAGACAATTCATAGATTAGGAACTCATATTTGTATATTTTTTGAATCCTGGAAGATATAAGTTAATATTGATATCATTCCTTAATTTAATAATGATTGATATTTATAAATTACATATTTTATTTTAAAATAAAAGGAACGTTTTTATTGTTTTATATCATATTTGTTTGAAATGTAATAAAGACAAACAAAATTTGTCAAACAAAACCGATTAATGATACATGCATTAAATAACAAAATATGTATTTTTGTGACATTTTCAGTTTATTTACAATGATTTTTAATATCTATTTAACTTTGGGTGCTTATTTTACTTTTAGTTTAATAATAATTAAAATCATTCAATGAAACGACTGTCGATATAATCGTTGTCTTACAAGATATTAGTGAGCATCTTAGATTTGTCCATCGTTGATAACATGCTTACAATTATAATATTTTAGCGTTTACAAAAGCGTTTAATTTTATTTATTTATTATTCGTTATAATAGATAACATATACAATTTTGAATACTAACACATTTTTTAGAATAAAAACACAACATTGATCTATATTAATTGATTTATTGAGAAAAACAGTCACGATTGTCACTAATTGGAACAGTGTCATTAATTGGGACATTTATCTTAAATATTTCACTTTTCCTTAGATATACCATTTTTCTCTATTCTTTAAATTATGGCTTTCTAAAATCTTTCTTGTGTTAAAACTGTTTGTTTTATACGTATACACACACACACATACACACACACACACATATATATATATATATATGTTGTTTTTTCGTTGCGCATCATTCGAATGATATCGAACAACGACGTGCCGGGTGATATACAATATACAATATACAATATAGCCTATAAATAATCAGCAAGACTTGATTCCTGATGACTGTGTTTTGTTCCAAATAATGAATATGAGAAAGATACGAAGCAAATAGAAAGAAGAGAATATGAGCTATTAAACAAGTAAAAAATAAGAAAGACAAAAAATAAGAAATTAAGAATAATATTTTATTTCAAAAAGTACATTAGAAGATAAATTAAAAATTATAGAAGCAGAACAAGAGATAACATTAGAATGATATACACAGACAATGGATGGAATGATGGAACTAACTAAAATATTTTTGTGTCCAATACCAATTTACAGAATTAAGAAAATGTAAAAATCTTGGTTATTTTTATTTTTAGAAAAATATTAAAAAAGTGTTGTGGTATAAGAATGTTTTATATATCATATATAATATTACACTTATTATTAAATATAATAATTATATTTAATAATAAGTGTAATATTAAGTATTTATTATGTTAATAATAAATAATTATTATTATATACTTATACTTATACTTAATGTTTGCCATCCAAGAAAATGGAATCTCGATCAAACTTAAGAAGTTTGGTTCCCCAAATTTCCTCTTATATTTCAATATAATATATCATATCATATAATAATTCTTATAATACAGACCTTATTTTATTTTAGAAAAACGAAATAACAAATCATTATTTTTGTTAACTTTATAGCACGACATTTGATATAAAATAAAATAAGATATTTTATAAATATATAATTACATTTTATTACAAATCACAAAATAAAATAATACGTTGTTCATTTATATGATAACAGCAATCATTAACACGTTAAATGTCGCACGAATTTCAATTAATTTTGTAACATATTATATATATCATGTTACAGAAGTAAAGCTATTTTGCAAATATTACCTCATTATCTCATTTAATTGGCTGTTTAATAATGACTCATATACCTCTGTAAATACTGATTAGTTATATTTTATACATAGATACATCATAATGTTGGATCACTGATAACCCTAGCATTTAGAATGTCGAATCTTGTTTTATGTTCAACATTTACTATTCCTGACACGTGGGATCTGACACCGTTATCTATATTCTAGAATATTCTTATGTGCAGAATGCGACTGCGTCCTACATTGTCTTACGCCTTACGACTTACATCTTTTTCCGCTTAAGACATCCGAAGTATGAAAATGGTAGTTGCGATCGTAGAATCTCCTTGAAATTCGGCACCGACGAGGGGGATCGTCGGAACAAGCACGTGGTCTCCGCGATATCGATGACAAACGACCCGGATTAGTATCGGAGAGCCGATGATCCGTCTCGTCACCACAGACTTTGGTAGCACGCGCGCACATCAACACGCACAGATTCTTATCTTCTCCGACTGCACTGAACGTTTCAGTCGCAAACGCGTCTCCGCCTGGTCCGTTTTCTCAGGCACTTGCACGCGCACTTGTTCCTCATTTGTTCAACACTTCCGGCATCATGGGCCACCCTCGTAATCACCGCCGCCGTCGCCGCCGCTGCTGGTTTTACGAGTCATTAAAAGTACGACAACTTACTCGTGCTTATCGAAACGCGAGTTATTATTATTTTTGTTTTTATAATTTTTTATTAATTGCGTGAATGAGAATTATCATAAAATATTATTTAAAACATGGTGAAATTATATTAGAAGCTAAATATTTAGAAGATAATTGCGCTGGACGTTTAGGCTTTGTCGAGATCTGTAAATAATCTATAAATAATTTGTTTTTTTTCCAGACGGCTTAAACGATTTCATTTAGACAAAAAGGCAGTGGAACGAGTATTGGACACGCGCTCGAGATATACCGGTAAGTAGGTTATCTTTTGTCCCAATAATAATAGCTCATCTATTATGCCACCTTGCTCTCGACTTTTCGATTTCTTCACGACACAAAAAACAACGGTTATGTTGCTGATCTACTCGGTCGTTTTTTTCTTCGTTTCTTTGCGAAACACCTTCGTAACGCGCAAGAGTTATCACCGATCGTGATTCTGTGGAAAACTTTAGTCGTCCAGGATTCGTGATGACTTTTCTTCACGTCGATCTGATTTTTATTTCGTATAAACGCTATTTATCATTGCTTTCTATTTTGATCAGCGATCATTGTTTATACAAGTTCTACGAGAGAGACAAAGATCCTTACAATCTCGAAATACTTGACGCGAGAGTGTCTCAGATCGATCAATGCGGAATGCAGAGCCGATTTGCCGGGCATGCACTCGATCGCTTCATATCAAATCGATATCGAGTTCGTGCAGATAACGCTTAATTCATTACATTAATGTTATCTCTGATTATCACGTGATGAGTCTTCTCCGTGGATCAATAATACTGCATGATCATTTAATTAATTTAGTATAATTCTGCGATCGGCATCATTTGTTTGAAGAGACAACTAATTTTCTTTTATTTGCTGTTTATGAATCTCTCGTAATGCTTCGCAAGATTTCAATTTTTCCAGATCTGCATTCGAATATAACAAAATATCGATAACCGAAAGTTGCCAAGGCTCATAAATTTATTTTTCTTTTTTTCTTCCCTTTTCGTAAAATTTCTTGCGATTACATTTAGGGCGCATATGTATTGTGCGTGGATTCTCCGCTGTATATGATTATATATATGCGTGATTATTCATTCGATTGCGTATGTGCGTAGATCAAAATGGCAGTCGCAATCGAACAGTAATTATAGATAACACAATCACTCTTTTATTTTAATATGCGACTTGTTTAACAGGAAATCACACATACTTGATCACGGTTATTAAACTGCTCTAATAGACAATTTTTGAAATTGTTTTCTTAAATATCAGGTAAATAATCAAAATCGTCACTAAGCATGGCTCGGTTTCACAACAGTCATATTTTGATGTCAAAATAATCGATGTCTCTTGCTTTCTCATATATACATAAGTGCAAATTGGCCGCGATTGATAGATCAGTTCTGTTTGTTTTTTCTTCGAAAAATGGCAGTGACTCGTTAAATTCGGAAGCGACAGTGTTTTGTGTGACAAATGATGTTCGTGTTCATCATCGTGGTCTCTTCCAGTATCTTCTTTCGTTGGACTCGCGCGCTGTTTCGGGGACACGCGGCCCGTCGCGCATGCCCGACCCGGAAAGGGTCCGCGTGTGACTTTGGCCGTGGTCGTCGAGCTTGTTCGTGGGGAGAAGAAATCACGCGGCAGCACGGCGGGCAAGGCAAGAGCTTTCGATCGGCGCGCTTAGGTTCGTTACTTGGTTAATTGGCAGTGCTTCCGTTTTGAGATCGGAATGGCGGTGGGTCGGTGGTAGTTGTCACGTTGCTGGCATGCGTTTGGACGACATCATACACCATTTAACGATGCACATGGGATATTAGTCCACACATCGTAGGTGGTTAGTCCACAATCTATAATCTAAATGCACATGGCGTAGTGTTCTTCGAGTGTTCGGCGAGGTTTACGTAAATGGTAGCGAAAGAGAAAGATCACGCAATAGAGACTTAAGGGACGAAAAGAGAGAGAGAGAGAGAGAGAGAGAGAGAGAGAGAGAGAAAGAGAGAGAGAGAGAGAGAGGCAGAATCGCGGCGTTGAATATTCTTGCTCGATGGCACTTCCGGTTCGAGAGTTCGCATACTTTCTCTCCGAGAGCGACGCGAGCGAACCGACCGCGACACGAGTATTTTCCTATCGCGACTAAGTAGCGATCGATCGATTCGTTCTCTATCTTAAATGAATGTCCAAAATCTGGTTGCGATACTTGCAATGCAAGGAAAGCGCGTCGACGATTTCCGATTCGCTAATCAATTGTCGATGGATAATCGACATTCGCGGATAAAGCCTGCAGCGTCGCGTTCCCGCGCGGGATCCTCTCCGAGATCCTTTAATAACAAGCCTTGTTAGAGGTTAAAATATCGCGGAACGACGATCGCGTGTCGGGGGCAACGTCCTCGTTCGCAGACGACAATTCTAGAAATGTCCGAGTCGATTTCTCGCGTCTCTCCTCTCTAGCATCAGCGATTTAAACGCTTTTTCTTGCTCCAGGCTCCACCTCGTGCATCACCCCCTACTTGGCCGACCATCCGAATTGATGCGCGGTACTCCGTGACCTCCGTGGAAAAAGTGGAACAGGGGATTTGGCCGGGTCGGTGTGCGAACGTCACACTCGGGTGGCGCGCCGAAATCGAGCGGCAGGTCGGTGTCGTAGGTCATGCACACGCACATGTATGTACACGGATACATATATACGGACGGACGAGTAAGACGTCTGCTTATACTGCCTCTCGCGGGACCAGCCAGCTTCCGGTTCTCTCTCTCTCTTTCTCTCTCTCTCTTTCTCTCTCTCTCTCTCTCTCTCTTCCTTTTCCTCTCGATACACGTGTACACGTGGGGATTCACACGGCGGGCTCGAGCGTGCGCATGTCGCGGATCGAAATTTCACGCGGTACCAATTGTTGTCACGTTGTCCGCACACATCACTGGATTCACCACCACCTGGATCCGTCTCGCTCTCGCGAGGTCCAGATTCTTCGGTGCGCTCCTCCAATTTCTTGAGTTTCTTCGGTGCGATCCGACAGTCGCGCGCGTCTTCTTCGTCCTCGTCGCCGTCGAGCCGCGTGCATACGTCGTCGCGGGGACGACGCGTCGTTTGTACGCGTGTGCGCCGCGTGTGTGTGTCCGCGCGTGTACGCGCGCGAGCATGAAACGTTTGTCACCGCCGTCGTGCCGAGAGGAGGTCGGTAAAACCGTCGACTATGTGTCGAGCTTCGAGTTGGCTTCGACAAAGTAGGGCGACGACTGGGACAGCGGCCACGGGCACCGGCGCTGCCTCGCTCGCGCTCACCGACGATGAGCGAGAACCCGCGGCGCGCCGTGCGGTGGAGGAGCCGTGGAAGTGGAAGAGAGAACCCTCCTCGTAAAACAGCAGCAACCGCGTTGCGCTCTACGTTCTCCAGTAGGGGAACTTCTGACACCACACCACACCGCGCTACGCCACCACCGCTGCAACAAGCCACGCCGCAATCCACATCCGAGCCGAGCCGTTCGCATTGTAACTCTCTATCTCTATCACACTCATACTATTCATGCGCGTCAAACGGAAAAGAGCGTCGCGATGCGCTGCACTTGAGCGAGAAGAAATAATCGCGACATAAATATCTAATACACATCATCTTTCATCATAGATATATATTGTACATGTATATTGGAGCACAAGTGTTTTATGCTCCTAACTAAATACCAATACGTTCAGCGAACACAACGGTTGAATCGAATGATGCTTGCTCCTATGGATATATTCTTCTTGATTTATCATGGATCTGTTCCAATCGTGGATTTATTCCAGGCATAATTATTGAGCATTCATGCATTCGTCATGCTGAACGCATTACCGAATATCATTGAATGTACCATGATAAAATATAGAATATTTCTTATATCATTAATTGTGTGTGAATATTCTATGCAATATTCAGTTTTTCAAAATTTAAGTTAATAATGAGTTATTCTCATTATAGATTATTTTGAGAATCTATTGATTTTTCTAGTTATATTTTGTCTACAGTTACAATTTGTAATTTAAATTTCCTGAAGAAACTTGTCGATATTTGCAATTTAAATGTTTATAAACTATGTTTTAATTTCCGTGACCTTCTTCCCCCTTCGGAGTAACGCAGATGATGTTCCATTTTCGCGGTCAGCTGATTGGCGCTCGATTATAGAGCCGTTCGATAAAACTGCGAGATATTTCGATAAAATACTTCGGATACCTCTCACAAATCAATAATAAAATAGAAAATAAAGATGAACACAAACTCAATTATTTGGTTTAAAAAATCGATTAGGATAACTCCGGTATATACGTATCAAAAACTTAATTTATTAAGTATTATTTACTATGTTTAAAGTAAACGAACTATATCAGTAAAAACTTATTTACTATCTACTACTATGAAAAAAATAGAAATCTGAAATATTTATTTTTTTTGAAACCCTTGCATTTTTACCGTATATTCCATAGGGATGGAATATATGGCTACTCACAGAAAGAGGGAGGATATGTATGGCTCATGAAAAATTTACAAATAATGCATATAAATAAGATGTAAAATGATACAATAACTTATAAAATATATATATAAAGTTTTATTAAAAAATGAATAAGAATGATAAATATGTATATGAAATAATAAATAATAATTACAATCCTCCTATATATGT